TAGAAAAATGCATGATTGGAATTACATTCAGAGAGAGCTAATATGCAGGTTAGAAACAACATTTAAGGACATTACCGTATGAAGAAAAGTAAGTAGGACAGGACACATCTCAAGAAGGGATCATGATCAATGGTCAAGAGCAAGGGTCGGCAATCAAAATAACAAGAAGAGCCATTTTTTTCTAATTCGGTAAACTCAATATTTTAAGAGCCGCAATGCATGTGGTGAATACGAGACGGTGGTCCTGAGTAAATCACGAAGCAGTCCTTGAACAGCTGCATGAGGCTCCGGAGCCGCAGGTTGCCGACCCCTGGTCAAGAGTTATGATGGCGTGACCGCCACAGGAATGCAATGCGTCCAAGAGGACTTTCTCCAAGGATATTGAACAACAAAATCAGCCGATTCTAGGTGCAGCTTCGAGGTGCATTGTTGGATTGTGGGGGGGATGATTAAGTAAAAGCTTGGAGAGGCCTTAACCCAGCAGTGGAGTCATCGTGGCTGATGACGATAAATTATAAGTACTCTACCGTTTAAAACCTCAACGGATTTTGACAAATTAGACCATCATTGAACATGACGTGTAATATGTATACGTGATTGTTATGAGCTTGCGTTTGTTATATACACCTACTCTTTTAAATGTGCTTGTCAGCAAATGTGATTTTAAAACAGTATAAGTGAGAAAGACGATGTGGGATTATCAGTGTTAGTGACACATCAAGCAGCCAGGATGTATTATACTCTGCCCAGATTTGATCCAATCTGTAAAATGTGACCTTCATCTACATTTTTTCTTCTTCCCAAAGACAAGTTTTTCAAAGCAACAATATGTTTTAGTAATCGTGAAAATTACTCATTGTAAAACTACGGTTGAATAATGTGCGATTCCAGGAAAAAGAGCAGACAATACATTGGAGTAGGTTCTGCCAAAATATCCAGCAAATTCGTTAATGTTTATTGTCTTTAAGTTGAAACGTATTGTATAATGCAGTACGCCTAAGCAACTGACATATAAGCATGACAAACGCACGCACATTGTTTCAATGATTTAAGCCGTGCTCTTCCTCCATTGTGAGCATTTCTTGGTGCCCATCATACATTCACACATGCACTGTATATACAAATACACCGCATGGCATTTATATTAAAAAATAAGCATAAATGCCCTGAAGTGGGTATACCGCGCAAATATGTTAGCTGTAAGCAAACAAAAACATTCAATAACACGCAGATATTTCATTCACTAACACATTCAATACCATTCACTAACACGCTGATATTTCATTCACTAACATATTCAATAACATTAACTAACACGCTGATATTTCAGACCCACAGCTCTTCCAGTGACTGCCATTTGTATAAAACAAAATAGCATTATTTTTAAAAAGGCAGTTATTAAACGCAACATACAGCATTATAAGTGATAATTATTTTAAATGACACAAATGACAGAAAGGCACATTAATGAGAACAGCATTAACCAGTAGACCATGATTCCAGTTTTGAGAATGACTGAAAAAAATTCCGTTATCTAACTCTTTCAATTATTTTTGTTCTAAGCCCATCATTCAAAACACAATATCCATTCCACTCTGCTGTTACATAGCATTTACTATACTGGCTATACCATTATAGTCACAAACGCCAACAGTGTCTTAATACTATACTGTACACACACAAATACTTGACAACGCCATGCATTAATGGCCAGTGGTCGTACCACACCTAACATAAGGAGGCAAGGAAGGGAAGGTACAGTGAGGGAAAAAAAGTATTTGATCCCGTGCTTATTTTGTACGTTTGCCCACTGACAAAGAAATGATCAGTCTATAATTTTAATGGTAGGTTTATTTGAACAGTGAGAGACAGAAAAACAACAACAAAAAATCCAGAAAAACGCATGTCAAAAATGTTATAAATTGATTTGCATTTTAATGAGGAAAATAAGTATTTGACCTCTCAATCAGAAAGATTTCTGGCTCCCAGGCGTCTTTTATACAGGTAACGAGCTGAGATTAGGAGCGCACTCTTAAAGGGAGTGCTCCGAATCTCAGCTTGTTGCCTGTATAAAAGGCACCTGTCCACAGAAGCAATCAATCAATCAATCAGATTACAAACTCTCCACCATGGCCAAGGCCAAAGAGCTCTCCAAGGATGTCAGGGACAAGATTGTAGACCTACACAAGGCTGGAATGGGCTACAAGACCATTGCCAAGCACCTTGGTGAGAAGGTGACAACAGTTGGTGCGATTATTTGCAAATAGAAGAAACACAAAAGAACTGTCAATCTCCCTCGGCCTGGGGCTCCATGCAAGATCTCACCTCGTGGAGTTGCAATGATCATGAGAACGGTGAGGAATCAGCCCAGAACTACACGGGAGGATCTTGTCAATGATCTCAAGGCAGCTGGGACCATAGTCACCAAGAAAACAATTGGTAACACACTACGCCGTGAAGGACTGAAATCCTGCAGCGCCCGCAAGGTCCCCCTGCTCAAGAAAGCACATATACATGCCCGTCTGAAGTTTGCCAATGAACATCTGAATGATTCAGAGGACAACTGGGTGAAAGTGTTGTGGTCAGATGAGACCAAAATGGAGCTCTTTGGCATCAACTCAACTCGCCGTGTTTGGAGGAGAAATGCTGCCTATGACCCCAAAAACACCATCCCCACCGTCAAACATGGAGGTGGAAACATTATGCTTTGGGGGTGTTTTTCTGCTAAGGGGACAGGACTACTTCACCGCATCAAAGGGACGATGGACGGGGCCATGTACCATCAAATCTTGGGTGAGAACCTCCTTCCCTCAGCCAAGGCATTGAAAATGGGTCGTGGATGGGTATTCCAGCATGACCCAAAACACACGGGCCAAGGCAACAAAGGAGTGGCTCAAGAAGAAGCACATTAAGGTCCTGGAGTGGCCTAGCCAGTCTCCAGACATTAATCCCATAGAAAATATGTGGAGGGAGCTGAAGGTTCGAGTTGCCAAACGTCAGCCTCGAAACCTTAATGACTTGGAGAAGATCTGCAAAGAGGAGTGGCACAAAATCCCTTCTGAGATGTGTGCAAACCTGGTGGCCAACTACAAGAAACGTCTGACCTCTGTGATTGCCAACAAGGGTTTTGCCACCAAGTACTAAGTCATGTTTTGCAGAGGGGTCAAATACTTATTTCCCTCATTAAAATGCAAATCAATTTATAACATTTTTGACATGCGTTTTTCTGGATTTTTTTGTTGTTATTCTGTCTCTCACTGTTCAAATAAACCTACCATTAAAATTATAAACAAATCATTTCTTTGTCAGTGGGCAAACGTACAAAATCAGCAGGGGATCAAATACTTTTTTCCCTCACTGTATATATTGGAGAAAGGTGCAAATGATGCATTATTACAACCTTGGCACCAGGATATCCTTTAAAATCATCCATTATCACTTTCCATCAGGCTGGCCTGTGTCCATGGCTTTGTAAGTAGGCCTTCGTCATTGTAAGCTGGCTAGAGCTGGGTCACCCTGACTTTTATTTTAGATACCAAGCACTAAGAGTACTGTTTATAAAAAAAAAGGCTCAAATAAAAAATATACTTTTTTTAAATTTTACACAATCTATAAAAGCCATTGTTATTAACACGTTGACCAGCCAAGCCCTTGTTTAGATTATCTTATTCCTCCCACAGTGGCCAAAAGCATGTCTCGGGCAGCTGTGTGTGACAATGGCCACGGGTAGTCCGTAGGAGCCCATGGGTAAAGCGCCATACGATCCATAGTATGGCCTTTGTCATAGAAATGAGCATGGTTTAAAGATAAGTTTATGTTGCTTACTCCATAACCGACAACTGCAACTGACCCATTGCAGACTTCCGCTCAGTTAAAGTGCAACCTCCCTGGAAGTGTAAAGAGGCCGTAGTGATATAAATTCAGGAGTGTACTGTTGCTCTGTTTATCAAGATAACACAGTGCTGGGTCTTTAATGAGTGGGCTGGGATCCAACCTGACATTGAACATTTTATTTCAGGTAGACATAATTAGAATGACCTGGAACGTGTGAACTTTGAGAGGGCCACAATGTTTCAACTATGGAAATTGGTTTCGATTTAAAGCTTTCGTGACTGCAGGGATTCATATTCTTGGTTCTTTCGGTAAAGTCACGTAGAAGGGAAGTAATAAAATAATAAAAATAAAACATAATTAGGACGCTGTCTTTCCGACAGCTCTGTTTCTTCACCTGAGGATGGCTGCTTGCGTTGTGGCCGAAACGTCGTGAGAATTGTATTATATTCTGGTTTATTTTTATTATTTTATTATTTCCCTTCTACGTGACTTTACCGAAAGAACCAAGAATATGGAAATTGGTGTTTTGCAAATGCAACATTAGCATGCACTTCCTTAGGACCCACGCATATGAGGATCTCTGTCATGCCCTTTGCCAACAACTTTTAAATCCTTTGTTAAAAGTGAATATGACCTGTACTGCAACCCATTCCCCATGATTGACTACAGTAGAGTATTTAACCCTGATGTCAAAAGACTACACGGCAGAATGTTTTTGTAACCGGATGTCCTGAGGTATTTTTTTGGATATGCAACACATTGCTCTTTGAACGTCAAATGTTACGTAAACCAGCAAGTGTCTGCATTACCAATGGGTCTCGTACAGCAGCAGCCAAATCCATGATTAATATGGATTCTAAAGGTTGTGCAAAACAACTGCTGGGTTTTTTTTAAAGCAGGAATTTTCAGGATAGTGTGCAAGTTGTGATACGGGCAAATGTGTGCATGCTTGGATGTGTGATTTCACTTTGTCAGCTGTTTCAAGAAATGCATTTATACTTTGCATTTTATATTGACACGTGAAATTATTCGTACAATTTGGGAACACATTAATTTATGGCACTAATGAATAATAACACAAATAAAAACCAAGCAATAAAAACGGCAATTACATTACTGACCCAATGGCAGTTAACACAATTTGGTTTGGTGTCTTAACATTTTCAGTAAATGCTTTAATAAATATCTGCTTGGCCAAAGGTGAGCTGCCCAACTAGACAACACAACAACCAGTATAACAGCTGACAGAAGAAATGCTTCTCAAGACCTACTTGCCCAATTACAGGCAAAATCAACAATGCTTGTTTTTTTTTAAATCAGGGCAATAGTCACTGCAAGTGTCAGTACTGGACGAGTAATGTGAGAAGTCAACAGCAGTTACACTCTGGGAGATTGACTCCTGGTATAGGAATGTGGAATTACTAGAATGCGTTCAGGACTGCCAATAGAGATGAGCACTTCCCAACACTTATTTAAGCATTGAAACACTTGGACTCTATTATTAATTATTTCATAACCCAACCCAGATCACCTCTCCTCTCTCCTCTTTCCTTTCTCCCTATTTCTAGATTGTTACCCCTTTGTTCCTTTCCCCTTCAATGTATTTCTTCACAACCCACTGCCCGTGCATTTAAGAGGATGCAGTAACAAGGGGTTACTTGTCATCTGAAACGCCGAGGTTAAGCATCCTCTGTTCAAGCCCTTTGGTGGTGCGCAGATCGCCGTTGACAGTGGCGTTGCCAGGTGGTGAGGTGATCCTGCCTGCTGATGCCTCGCCATTCCAACGCTGAGCTGAGTTCTGGTTGCAGCTCTTGTACTGCGCAGAATAAACAGAACAATAATAATATATCGCATGTGTCATACGTGACAGCAACCACGGATGATGCAGTCGGGGCTGTGGCTTCCGGTTTGTGCTCACAAGAGCTAGTAGAATGGAGTACAGAAAGTAGATTGCTGACCCAATCTCTTGGGATTTGTTGAGTAATGACCCCTCATATGCACGGGTTTTCTCCAGGTACTCCAGCCTCCTCGAAAGTGCAAAAACACTCATCAAAGAATTGCGAAAATGTCACAGGGAACCAACCTCCTGAATGTACAAGCTGCGACATAGCTAAGGCTTTTGTAAATTATTCTGTATGATATGTTATAATATATAGTATTATGATGGAGCGGTGGTACAGTGGTTAGTGCACTGAGATAATGAACCTGGCGACCCGGGTTGATCCCAGGCGCTGCCAATATCAGTGGCAAGAGATATTAATACGGTGTTAGAGAGTGTGTATTTTTGATGTGGGTTACTGACCTTTCTGGAGAGGTTGTGGCACAAAGACACGATGGACAGAACCAGCAGCAACACATTTTTTGTCTCCTGAATAGTACTGTCCACCTACGGGGAAAAGATATCAACAATGAAACAATTTTGATTTAAAGCTTTCGTGACTGCAGGGATTCATATTCTTGGTTCTTTCGGTAAAGTCACGTAGAAGGGAAACAATAAAATAATAAAAATATAAAACAATACAATTCTCACGACGTTTCGACTGCAACACAAGCAATCATCATCAGGTGTGAAAACCACTTTTTTCAAATTTTCTTGCTGTGGTTTTCACACCTGATGATGATTGCTTGTGTTGCAGTCGAAACGTCGTGAGAATTTTATTGTTTTATATTTTTATTATTTTATCGCTTCCCTTCTACGTGACTTTGCCGAAAGAACCAAGAAAAATGAAACAATTCTCCAAACAGAATTACAACTTCTATATGGTACTGTATATATATAATTTGCATGTGTCTGTGCATCCATCTGTCACACTCTGTATCTCCCAAACAGTATGTCAGAGAAAAGGATTAATGAAACAAAACACGTTTCTCTTGACAAGGACATTACCGAAAGATTGTCATCTTTCTTAATTTTCAACATTTTGACTCTGAAAAATCGAAAACAAATACCTTGGAATATCCAATAGACTACCATTTGTAAAAGTTGATGTCATTAGAACGCCGGATTGCACTTTATTTCTCAAACCGGATATAATGATTAAAGGGTGCTTGCAAGTAGGATTAGCAGTGCCATTGGCAAATGAAAAGCACCTACAATTACAGTATTTAGCGAAACAAGTGAGATTTTATAATCCGTATTGGCATATGTAATGCGTATGGCAGCTTGAATGATCGAGACATGCAGTGAGGGAAAAAAGTATTTGATCCCCTGCTGATTTTGTACGTTTGCCCACTGACAAAGAAATGATCAGTCTATAATTTTAATGATAGATTTATTTGAACAGTGAGAGACAGAATAACAACAACAAAAATCCAGAAAAACGCATGTAAAAAATGTTATGAATTGATTTGCATTTTAATGAGGGAAATAAGTATTTTACCCCTCTGCAAAACATGACTTAGTACTTGGTGGCAAAACCCTTGTTGGCAATCACAGAGGTCAGACGTTTCTTGTAGTTGGCCACCAGGTTTGCACACATCTCAGGAGGGATTTTGTCCCACTCCTCTTTGCAGATCTTCTCCAAGTCATTAAGGTTTCGTGGCTGACGTTTGGCAACTCGAACCTTCAGCTCCCTCCACATATTTTCTATGGGATTAAGGTCTGGAGACTTGCTAGGCCATTCCAGGACCTTAATGTGCTTCTTCTTGAGCCACTCCTTTGTTGCCTTGGCCGTGTGTTTTGGGTCATTGTCATACTGGAATACCAATCCACGACTCATTTTCAATGCCCTGGCTGAGGGAAGGAGGTTCTCACCCAAGATTTGACAGTACATGGCCCCGTCCATCCTCCCTTTGATGCGGTGAAGTTGTCCTGTCCCCTTAGCAGAAAAACACCCCCAAAGCATAATGTTTCCACCTCCATGTTTGACGGTGGGGATGGTGTTCTTGGGGTCATAGGCAGCATTCCTCCTCCTCCAAACACGGCGAGTTGAGTTGATGCCAAAGAGTTCCATTTTGGTCTCATCTGACCACAACACTTTCACCCAGTTGTCCTTTGAATCATTCAGATGTTCATTGGCAAACTTCAGACGGGCATGTATATGTGCTTTCTTGAGCAGGGGGACCTTGCGGGCGCTGCAGGATTTCAGTCCTTCATGGCGTAGTGTGTTACCAATTGTTTTCTTGGTGACTATGGTCCCAGCTGCCTTGAGATCATTGACAATATCCTCCCGTGTAGTTCTGGGCTGATTCCTCACCGTTCTCATGATCATTGCAACTCCACGAAGTGAGATCTTGCATGGAGCCTCAGGCCGAGGGAGATTGACAGTTATTTTGTGTTTCTTCCAATTGCGAATAATCGCACCAACTGTTGTCACCTTCTCACCAAGCTGCTTGGCAATGGTCTTGTAGCCCATTCCAGCCTTGTGTAGATCTACAATATTGTCCCTGACATCCTTGGAGAGCTCTTTGGTCTTTGACATGGTAGAGAGTTTGGAACCTGATTGATTGCTTCTGTGGACAGGTGTCTTATACAGGTAATAAGGTGAGATTCGGAGCACTCCCTTTAAGAGTGTGCTCCTAATCTCAGCTCGTTACCTGTATAAAAGACGCCTGGGAGCCAGAAATCTTTCTGATTAAGAGGGGGTCAAATACATTTTTGACATGCGTTTTTCTGGATTTATTTGTTGTTATTCTGTCTCTCACTGTTCAAATAAACCTACCATTAAAATTATAGACTGATCATTTCTTTGTCAGTGGGCAAATGTACAAAATCAGCAGGGGATCAAATACTTTTTTCCCTGACTCTAAAATACAGAGATTAATATCTGCTACTAAAGATGTATGACCAAAGCAATCAACAGAAGGTGTGTACCAAATTAATTGCACTTGTGGAAAATGTTATGTTGGGCAGATAGGCCGAATGATCAGCACGAGACTAAAAGAACACCAAAGGAACATTAAATACTTCCAAATACAACTGTCGGCAGTGGCAGAACACGTGTGCCAACAAGGACACTCAATTGATTTTGATAATGTTGAAGTTCAAAACTAGTTACTATTGTTCGGCTTAGTGCTGCTTGCAAGCGAATCAAACAATACATTGTTTAAATGCATGCCTATACAGGTCACCATACGTCAATGTGGATTACCTGTACGCAGACAAAAACAGGTACTGCTATTTTATTGCACACAAACAACAGGAGGTACAAGAACAATTGGCATGCATAATGTACATACATAATGTACGTTGATTACCATATGAATAACCCAACCGGAAATGTACTCCCATTGTTATTTAGATGGATTCATTAATCCCACCCCCTTTTCCCACGTGAAGGGCTCACAAGTGATATCATCACATCTATCCCTCTATTTAAGGAACGAAATAGGAGGATTTCTCCACAAATCTGGCTGTACACCTGATGATGCTAGTTGTAATTACTGGCGAAACATTGTACTCAGATTGTAAATGTTGTGTAATTGCTCTCCAACACACCAGTGTGCTGTACTAGTAACGAATTGGGCATGTTCTAGTTTATGTGACAACTTAAATCAAATGTCTCTGTCTAATTGGAGAAGTAATCTAATCTACCCTTGCCTTGAGGTCGATCTGCACTAACCTTTGTGTAAGTAGCCACCTTGCCGTGCGTGGGCGTGCGGCAGGCAAGTTGTATCTGTTGGCACAAGGCTGGTAGCCGCCCTGCTTCCACCTGCAGCAGTGAGCGATCATCTTCCTCGGGCACCTATAGCAACGGCGCAGCAGTGAGGACACGGCAGACAGGACTGTGGTAAATTCATTGTTAGGCTGCAGTGCTGCACGTATGTCCAAATGTCTGCCCTCAAGGCCCTTGTATCCTGACTAGCCTTTTGCCTGTCCAAGGACGGTTATAATCCCTTGGTCATCATGACGTCCTTTGAACCTCGATGTCTCAACAGCGTTACGGAGATCGCGTGACGTGAGGGTTCTGCCTTTGTAGTGAGGGTTGTAAGTTAATGGGGGGGGGGGGGGTCCATGTGGAGGACGTAACCTGTTCATGATTATTAATGAGGGGGGCTGGTCGAAGTGGAGTGACGTCACGAGCGTTGCACACAGACATTTTTGGCTTATTATAGTAGGCAATGTTTAAATTAAATGCAATGGAAAGTCGTGGTTTCAACTCTAAATCGGTGGCGTTGTGTATTAACTCTTCAAGCTGCTCTTATGTGATTTAATAGATAATTGCTTCACTATACAATGTTAAACGTACTTGAATACTGAATGAGGATAACAGGTTAGACTCGAAATTTGTTATGTAATGCAGTGTCTCCCCTCCGTTATGCAGTATTGGATATAAAAAAATACATTTAAAAAATTAATGTACTGTGTGCTGTGAAGTAGTAAAAGTGATGCTTTGTGAAAATTAGATAAGCATGAGTATTAAGCAGGAGTGTAATTAAATATTCACCCGTACCCCTAGCAATTTGATTAACTGTCGCGATGCAGGGTAGTGATTCAATTGAATAATTTTGTTTGAACATTGTGGTGAATTTTCGGGCCTCTAATGGCTGCAGGGATCACACGTGCCCATTATATCTAACATGTAAATATACAATTATTATGATGCATGTATTGCAACCTTAATAATCCACATTATGTAAGGAATTGATGCATCATTACACTTCTAATATTAAGGCATAAATATCCATCCTCAAAACAGTTACCCATTATTATCATGACTACCAACAGCAACACAGTATGCAATGAAAAATCACAATATTTGAGTCGGTTAATTTTTGTGGCTGATAAGCTCACCAGCATGGAGAATGTCCGCAGGGCTGTGCATAATCTGATTCCCTCTTCAGAAAAAACCTGAAAGATTAACGTCGACTTGTTAATTACGAAACCCATCTCCTGAGGCATAGCTCTACTTTTTGAAGCCCAGGTACCCTTTAAAAGGTGATATTTTAATATAAATGGATAAAGCCAACCCACTATCACTCTTGTTTTTGGAATTTGACACCGGCGTTTATTAACTAGTTGTTAAATTAACTCTTTGATTTGTTTAACATTTTACAAAAAAATATCCACAAGATATTATGAAATGAATCAAAAGCAAAAGTAATTTTACAGTGTGGAAATCTGTCCGTACAAATTTACTCCGAAATAGAATTCTGTTGCCCATCAATTGTTTCACTTTGTACAGTGATATTTCAAGTTCAACAATAGCTTCCAGATGTTTTGGTATTTAAAAATCTTAAACAAAAAAAACTTTTCACATGCAAATTGAAATGCTTCTAAGCCGGTAATAAGTTTTATTTTTGTACTGTTTAATGTGCCGACCATGAAGCGGTTCACACCCATTTTAGAGTCCTGCACTCAAATTTTACCAATGCTGGCAGCGTTGACTAAAGGGTTATTCAAGTGAGAGCACCCTGCCAAACTTGGACAACTAGGGTTGCCAGTCGTCTTCATCTCTCGTGGCGACAGGATTGCCTTCACTAAGAGACTTTTACATTTTATTTTAAAAGTGGTGTTGTTCAGCGGATCACATTTTTAGTACAGGGAATTAAACGATAGCGAAAGTCGAGTGTGCATGTTTGGTCAGTCAAAAAGGACACAATCATGTTTTTTTAATATATATTGGTGGCTATATGATGATACAAAGGCAAAATAATATTAGACTAATATTGTACTTCTTTCAAATGTCTATAAACCCACTGCCGGAGCATCTGCTCTTTCAAGTGGCATCAATTGAATTTGTGTCCTCTTGACACCACCTTTTGTTTTTGAAATCTTAATTTCAGTAATTCTCTGAAATGTTTAATAGCATACGTTATCTCATATCTTAATGGAAATAGACCCGAGTCGCCAAAACCATGCGAGGCACCTAGTGGGTAGGCAGTAGCGCCATAAAAGAAATATACATTTAATGTTATTATACCAATAATGTTATTATAATGTTATTATACCAATAATTCACCTCGGCTTGTTGGAACAGGTCATTGGTAGTTTTCAGCAGACCTTCACCCCTAAAACAAAACAGAACACACCTCTGATTATAGAAGAATATCATTGACAACAGTGCATGCAGAGTATATAATTCTATAAGTTCACTCGCATAAGCATGGCACTTCTTTTCTTCAAGGTTGCATGTAATTTGCAGGTTTATATTAGAGTATATACATTCCCCACGATTTCCTGCATTGTACAGCATCTTGAGATGTGGTTGCATGTAAGTACTTAACAAATGTTGTTTGTGTATCCACTGCTGAATGAAAACCTCTCCGTGCTGTCACCATCCCCCATCGTTTCATGTTGCCAAAGTTCATCACTCTCTTGTGCATGAGCTGATCTCATCACTGCGTCTCCACGGTGATTGCCCTCTGGGCATGCTCCCTCCTTTGGCTGCCATACCTTTCACCAGTCCGATTAGCGCAGTTGGCTACGCACGATCCCAACATACACACACACACAGTCTCATCCATCTGCTGCCATCCCTTCTACCAATTGTGTGCTGCCGAAGTCCACTTTCCTTAACTCGATTCTGTATCTTTCCTTCTGAACAACGTTCCTCTTTCTGTCTCAGTGTTAATCAAACTGGAAAAAAAAATTCAAGTGTTGATCCAAGCATGCATTTCTCCATGCCTCTTTGCACACTTTTCAGCGTTTGCTTACATTTTTGTCCTTGTCAATGTTTCTGATCGATATTAAATAAGAGTTTTCTTCTTCAAGCAAATTGGTTTTTGCTTTCCATTATCAAATTGGGATTTCCGAAAAGCAATTCATACAGTTTTCGGTCACCCATTTATTTAATCAGTTGCCTTTTCATATTAGAATTTTTTCTATCTACATGACTTTACCAAAAGAACCAGAGAGTATGCCTTTTCATAGTTTATATTTCAGTATTTGATATTCATTTGTCTTTTCTAGGATGCGATTAATAATGAGTTTGTGGTTAATGGTTGAAACCCCTTTTCTATTTACAAAGAGAGGTCTGCTAAGTGTGTTGCAAAAAATGGATCAACTGCTTTGATGATGTCCACAGTTACTCCATCTGATCAATGCATTTTCCACATTCTTTATCCTGCAAAGAGCAGTGTTCACTCCTTCAGGTATGACATCTGGACCCTGAATGATCTTTTGTTTCCTGGGTACATGAATGTGGGTGGAGTGGTGTTGGATTCCCAGCCACGGCTAATATTGCTTGTGGGTGATACCTGAACCCGACTTGCCACCCCCAACCTCCCCCCTTCATCAACCCACACTGACCAGCATCGGGATGTCTAACGACCACCATGGCCTACACGGATTGGATAGGCCTTCATCCGAAAGTAGATTGATAAAGGGCCGCACATTAATATGCACTTATTTCCTGTAGAGCTGCTGTATACAATTTACGTTAATTTCGTGCATTATGGTTCGACCTTAATCTCTTAGGACTATCATTTGTCATTTACCAGTCACAGAGGTATTTTTATTCTGCTTAATACTCTTGATTATGATGACATCTTTACCTAGGCATATACTAAAATCCTACACAACATATGCAGCCATTCCTCACATTTTGAAAACATAATAACTTAAGCTAACTTTCCCCCGATTCCTTCTCATTCCTTGGCAGAGCTATCAAACAGAAGTATTACATTTTTAGTAAGAATCTCACACCATGCATAAGTCACCCAAGGCATTTTTTTTTAAATCTCCATTCCACTACTGTTCTAACGTACGTGCGCCTGGAGGTGCTACTGCATGACTGGGAAGCCGTTTTTCCAGCCACTCCCAGGCACACAGAGCAGGGCTCATGGCAACCCTGGAATAACAGCTTCAAGTTGTACCAGCAACCGGGCCGTCAAGGTGTCACGCACTGTGCATGCAGTGGGTGCAGCAGGGCGCTCCCATCACACGCGCACGCGCCATCAACGCGGCTGTCCGATATTCGATGACGGCTGCGGCTGTCCACCACTGCCACCGTCAACCCCCTCATACGGGCACGTCCGGACCTCGAATCGTTCCATTTCATTGAATGGCTTCAGGGATAAAATTGTTGCATACCTTTTGACCAAGGTTTACGTGATGAGAGGTGTACCTGCAAATGTACAGCGATTTTTTTGTATCAACCTGCTGCTCAGTGAGGGCATCCCTGTTGGCAATTGGGGGTTATTTGGCGATACTCCAACCAATGGCGGTGCCAGGATTTTCAGGTAGGGGGGGCAACCCCTCCAGCAATGAAAAGTGATAGAGGAGTTGTTAGTAAGTAAGGACTTGTCCCTTGCTTTTTATTCGACGCATGTACGGCAATGACGCAGCCATCGATCGAGGGTCGAATTCGAACCGCGTTGTGTGATCGGCATCGTGCTCGCTGAAGGTGTTGATGCCTTCAGGGAAGTCGTGTACTGAATATGCAACTGCGCACAATTCTGTGAATCACTTATAACTGATTTGCCGTTACTTATTGCCAATTATGGACTCAGACTATTGTCCTATCATCTCATAGAGTCCCTGGCACATAATATGCTACACAGTGGCAGTGGGGGTCGCAAAATGCCGATTTATTACTAATAAACCCCAATGATCTGATCGAAATGAGGGATTTCGATCGGATAATTAGGGGACACGTGCCCCCCCCCCCCCCCATGCCCCCCACTGGCTCTGCCAGTGACTCCAACCACGTTGGCCAACTTGAGTTGGGGAAGGCGGTGAGTGTAGATGCGGGGAGCATCGAGGCACACTCCCACAATGGGACCTTGCGGGCACTGCCCACTGCTGCCCACCGCGTCGCTCCCAGCAAGGCTGCAACAACTCGTTTCATGCACGGTGACTCCCCATCCAAGCACTCACTATCTCGGCTCGAACCTGCTGGGCGATTAGCTCAACGACTCGCGCCTCCGAGTAGCACGGCTGGGGCGACGTACGGTGCTAAAGAAGTACGACATACATGCAAATGAAGACAACAAAAACTGCACAACCCGCACGCGATCAGCACTCGCACGCAAATCGCCACCATCGCCCGTCCACTACAATTTGCACTCTGTTTTTGTTGTCATACCTAGTAGTGCAATCGTTAATTCTCTCTTTCTCACTCACACACACACTAGCTAGTGTTTCTCAAGCTTGACATCTCATAAAGCACTCCACATGGAGGACAGTTCATTGCACTCTACACCACACACTGGGAGTGGATGATTGTATGGTAGTAAAAGCCGTAAATCAGGCTTTTGACTTCAGGGAGCTGTTGAGTTTGTAAAGGATGTTAAAAAAAAACTGAGGGTGAATTAGAAGATGCTGCACATTTTTGTCTCGTGAAAAAGGTGACATTTACACAATGTGCTTTGGTATGGAACACTTCTTCCGCCCACCGAATCGATGATGAATTCTCACTATTTATGTTTCTGCTCCTGTTGCGGTGGCAGTGCCTCCAGGAGCTTAAGGGGTGGTGTTGAATCCCATTACGTACATGCAAATATTTAAATAGGACGGAAAAAAAACCCCGTTTCTTACACATGAGATTCGATGCGTGTATCACGAGAGTGCAGAATGATGCAATGATTGATGTCATGATTCGATGCATGGCGACACGATACTTAGAATCGATACATCCGTCCACCCCTGGTTTATTTTACGTCAACATTTAAAGGACACGTAAAAAATAATGCTGAATACTGTATTAATCTGCAGCTGTCGGTCCCCTCTGAACTGGCTCCGAAGAGATGACTCTTGCACTCATTGCCTCTGCGCTTATTTTTTTAAATAATCAACAGTGGGAAGTAGCTTTGTTCACAATCAATAATAAACTAACACGCTCACGGATAATGGCCATAAACAAGTTTATGGCGGGGCATCAAGCGACGAGGCACTTAATTGAGTCCTTAATTGCATTATTTACCCAAATATTGCCTTCCTAAACCTAACAGATGATGTCCTTGGGTGAGTATGATAATGAACAAAACGTGCTTTTACATCTGTTTTATGCAGGCGTTTGCAGAATTGTGCTTGTCCATAATGGTACTGCAATGTCTTCTTCCCAGCAGGTGAATAACAATGCATGTCACATTGCCATCCTGTCAATTACACCGCTGCAGTGCCATCTGCTGTTACACATGGAACATGCAGGGTTGCTTCCCGAAACCATATGGAAACTATCTGCAGTCGTGGCGAAAAAAAAAATTGGTCACAAATAACTTACATAGAACTATATTACGTACAGCCCTTTTGTCAATCGACTGCTGAACGAGTGCCTCGTCGCAACGTGTCGATCGTACAATGCTTTCCATGCCCTGTAGTTGTGGGTGAGAGTGCAAGCGGGAAGTGTTGACGTTGGGGCGTAGCATCGTGCTGTGACGTTCGCTACACTGCCCTCTGCGGACAACATAGCCCCACAGCAGCCTGCAACGCCCATTGGTATTCCTTCTGGTCGACCCAAGCACTGCCCAGGCTCAAACATGCTTAGCATCTGAGATCTGATGAGATTGGACGCATTTTGGGGGATTTGGTTATCAATGAGTAATTACTGTATAACCCATAGCCCTTCCAAATAGCTCGTAATGAGTGTGTCTACTTAGAAACTGTTTCGCATTGAACTAATCCCCCTGTTGGTGGAGAGCAGTTTTCCATAACATCTAGCCAAATTCAATTTTTGTTTAACGAGTTCGACTCAGCTGATGAGATCCTGCAGGTCAAAACCTGTATAGTGTTTGTTTGCTTCTACAAACGTTTCTGGAAAATATTGGTCCAGAATTCCAAAAGACCGGTGGACTGAAATGTTATTTTCGATCAAATTTTGCGGGGCGAAACAGACTTATGTCTACATATTTGATACCCGTTTGAAGCAGAATAAATTTAGAACCGCATTTTTAAGATGCAGCTAATGAAAATGAATTAATGTGGTCACCTACTAAGTTATTATCACACTTAAATATGATCTACGATTCATGACATTTAAAAAAAACACGAGGATTTGAAAGCTCAAGTGGTAAATTTTGATTTAAAGCTTTCGTGACTGCAGGGATTAATATTCTTGGTTCTTTCGGTA